AGCATACAGGCTTTGTCTTTCACCTGCATTCCCAGTCAGCAGTGAGGGCAACTCAAGCAGCACCCTGCCGTCTTACCACCACCACCAGCAGCACCCTCCCCAATAGAGGCGCAGAGAGAGTTAATTGCCTAAGCGACACTTAGTGGGAGAGCTGCCTTAGGCCTTATTTTAAAGGATCTACTTTTGGTGTCCTTGAACCCTATTCCGTCATCTCTCACCCTGGGGTGCTCAAGCCCCGGAGAAGTCCCAACTCGCTCATCCTCCCGGTGCCGCTGGGGAGCACGCCCAGGTCCTGGGGAGAGCAGCTCAGCGCCGCGGCCTGAGTGTGGCAGCTGAAAGGGGCTCAGATGAGGATGGAGACTGAGCGGCTCCCGGGCCCGCGCAGAATCCAGCGCTGGAGCCGCGCTGTGGGAGCTCAAGGATGCCGTTGCAGACACAGCCCAAGTCGACGCCGGCGCTAGCTGAACTGCGGTCGGTGTTGAGACCGAAGTGCCCTTGGCTCCTGGGGCGGGCGCACGAAGACCAGCGCCGCGGGCCGCACCGGGGGCTGCCTGCCGGAGAACTAGGGTGCCTGCGGGTGGAAGTGCGGACGAGAGCGGGTCTAGGGCAGAAGAGCTGGCCGCGCAGGTTTACACAAGCTTGTAGTAGAAGTTTGAGCCCAGCACTGAGCTGACCTCACCTGAGGCTCCCACAGAGGTGACGCCCTGTCTCCGGGGGGCCGCCGTGTGTGACCTTGAGTTGGAGGTTCCAACAGGAACTGAGAGGTGCGGTTCGCGGTGACCAGATTCCGGGTGCGCCAGAAGCAACATTCCTGCCTTTCCCCGCCGGCCTCAAAGCAAAAAGCCTCGACCTCAACGCAGGGACTCTGGGCAGGCGGGGTGCGTGAGTGTGGGGCTGCGGGACCATTTACCCAGTTCTTTATGCTTGCAAAGGCCCCCAAATTTCATCCCTTTGACTTTTCCTTAACAAAAGCGCAGTCCCAGGTATATGGTCAATGGGTTTGAAAAAAGTTCATCGTTCACCATAAACCTGTACCCTACATGGGACCACCCCTGCTTGCAGGGCCCTGGGAATCAATATTTTATAAGTGCTTTAATGATTTGAACAACCCAGTTTGTGTTGAATAACTCCTATGTGTGACTACAGAAAAAAATTTATTAGATGATGTAACCATGTACAATATGACTTGAAATTTCTTGATTTTTAAACTGGCAGAGACCTTTCTGGCCATCCAAGAGTCCCCAGGCTCAGCAGACCAAGAGTTCAAAGTTTCAGGTCGGCTAGTCAGCATCAGCCAGAAATGAATGATAATAATAATAATGCATAACAATAATAAGCTCAGACCAGTTGTGCAGTGGTAAATGGTTTTTCAAAGCGCATTCACACTTGGATGATCCAGCCATCCACAGCCAAACCCGGCAATGCCGACGCTACAGGACAAGTCATCCTGCACCTCAAATCCTAAAACACGTTTGTTTCTGAGCTTTGAGCAGTCCTGCCTTCGCTTCTCTGCTGTGGCCCGGGAGTGCAGTGGAGGATGACCCAAGTCCTTGGGTCCTGCACCCACATAGGAGACCAAGAGAAGCACCTGGCTTCTGGCTTTGGATCAGCGCGGTGCGCCGGCCGCAGCACGCTGGCTGCAGCGGCCATTAGAGGGTGAACCAACGGTAAAGGAAGACCTTTCTGTCTCTCTCTCTCTCTCACTGTCCACTCTGTCTGTCATATATATATATATATATATATATATATCGAAACAACAGACAGCTCACACCACCTCTTTGAACTAGGCTAGGGGCAGCTTGAGAGAACCTCAGACAGTCACAGCTTGGAAGTGCTTCTTCGCCTACAATGTTGCACACAACCCAATGGAGTTTTCTTATTACTAAATACCGTTTGGTTGTTTTTATCAGTCTCCCTCAGATGAGGAGCCTCTGTTGGGCTTTGGTAGAAGCTCTGGATGTGGACTTCACCAGTCGCAGCAACCTGCAGCCCTGAGCTGGGACAACAATCCCCAATACCCCTTCTTTGCACTTCGAAGCATTTTCTGGCACTTGCTGTCTGGCAGTCACCACCGTGCAGCTCTGTGTGGAACCTAGTTGGGATGTGCTGTAGGCTGAGGTTGGTGGCTTGCAAAGGTGAAGTTTTGCAGTGCCTCAGCGGTAGCCTGGGGCACGGCAAGAGGCTACCAGCAAAGAGTGCTGCCAGGACATCCCTATCTGTCCTTTGGGGCCCACTTTATCTCCTCCGTCAATTTCCTGGTTTCAAGGAAATGCCGGAGTCTTCCCAGGGCTCATGCACAGTTGGCCGGATTCTACATTTTCCTTCCCAGCACAGACTGAAATGTAGAGAGGAGAGTTCTGATGGCAGTTTGAGGACTTAGCAACACAGGACCCTCACTTGGCGGGAAGTCTGCAGACCTGGGTGCTCTGTAAGGCCTTGCCAGGCTTAGCTGGGAGCTCCTCTCCCTCTGGGCTGACCCTCCAGGGCACTGGGCCATCCTCAGAAGCCCCAGGCCACCCTTGCAGGAGCCCATCTTCTGAGAGTTCAGCCACTGACACCGTTCAGAGGCACAGGGGTGCCGGCTTATGCATTTTGGGGAGCTTTTCAAATGAAATCGGGTTCACTGTCACCCTTTCCCCTTTCTGGGTTTAGGGGCTTAGCAAACGGTGCCAGAATTCCCAGACTGGAAGCCATTTATTTTCTAAAACAGACTCCAACTTCAGCTTCCTGCTCATCTAAAATACTTTCTGGGTATCCCAGGGTCCCTCAAACCTAATCTCTTGCAATGAGTCGCAGCTCAGGATAAGGCAAACCAATAGACCTGGGTATCTCTCTCTCTCTCTCTCTCTCTCTCTCTCTCTCTCTCTCTCTCTCTCACACACACACACACACACACACACACACACACACACCATACCAGGGACATTTGTGAGCAGTTTGATTCCAAATGTCTTGCCCAGAGCCAGATTCCTGGGTTCTCCTGAGTCCTTAAGACCAATTTCAGTGTTGGGTAACAACCCGTTCCACCCCATTTCCCACCCATTCGTCCATCCTCGATTTACCCGCCTGTAAGTTGGGTGACTCGGATCTGGGGGTCCCCAAGGCTAGCGGCAAGACTCGCTAAGCGCAGGAAGGACTGAGGCAGAAGCAAAGGCGGCTCTGGGCCACCAGGCCGGGAAGACGGAGAGTTCTCAGCGCAGCCCAGGGGCGCAGGCAGGAGGTCAAACAAGATTCCCTTGAGCTGGAGCAGAGCGCGCAGGGAACACTGTTTCACATCTTTCATAAAAATCTAAAGAAGCGGTGAGGGTAGTAGAAATAGAAAAAGAAACAAAGAAAGAAATACTGCCAATTTCCAACAAGAGCCACGCGGCCAGAGACCTCGGTCAAGGCACGGTCTCGGGTCGCGAAAGGCCGTGGAAAATCCTCGGAGGCCGAGCTGGCCTCGGAGACCGCCTCCCGGAATCAGATCTCAAAGCCTTTGCGTCAACCAAGCAGCCACAAATCGGATCCAACTGAAATCATTTGAGTAATTTTCCCCAGGCACCTGGAGCCAGCCCCACGGAACCCGCGCAGGCGGGGATCCCGCGGGTCGGAGAGGGAGGGAAGCGGTACTGCCCAACCCGGGTCGCACGCGAAGGTGGGGGACCGCAGTGCAGGGGCCCGAGGCCGAGGGTGCGACCCCGACTTCTGTGCGTTTTTTCCTGCTGGAAGGAACTGCCCCGTCCTCCCGTCTCCAAATCCGCAAAGACCGAGAACAAACGACCCCCTAGGGCGCAGCAACTAGCCACTGCCATTTTCAGCTGGGGAAAGAAACGACGCCCCCGCCCCAAGAAACCTTCAATTAGTGGCGATCTCCGGGGAGAGGGAGGGAGGAGATTCTAGCATTGCGGCTAATGTTTCAGCTTTCCACCAGGAAAATGCACTCGAGATTAAAATTAAAAGGGACTTTAAAAACGTCTTACAAAGCTCAGCGATCGCAGACACCACAAGGAACGGGTTGGACTGGGTGGGGGTGCACACCCCGAGGCCTTTGCCTTTCGCCGTTTCCGGAAGCGGGGCTGAGCCCGCGGGGTCTAGGACTTGCTAGTCCCCCTGGCCGAGGTGTCTGGGGTAGGAGACCTGAGCCCGGGAGGCTGGAAATGTAGCGGCTGGGGAGAAGCGAATGTGCCTCTCCGCTCCAGGTGGAACTGAAAGAAGCCACGGTCTGGGTTTCAGCGAGGCCTCGGGGCTTGCAACGTGGCATTCACTGACCCTTGCTCGCCTGGGACCCGGGCGCGAGCGGTGCGCAGAGGTGAGCATTTGGCTCCGCTGAACCCGCGGCAATGTGGGGAGTCCTGGGACGCCAGCGGGGCTTGCCCGTCTGTCCAGGGGGTCATTAATCTGCGCCTGGCCCATCCTCTGCTGTCCAGCGGCTTCGGTGCGGATCAAAAGCCTGCTCTGGAAGCAGTGGAACAGCGGAGAAAGCGCCCTTTGTGCCCCGCAGAGGCAAACGCGCAGGTGACCCTCCCTGGCAGTTGCGCCGTTTGCGCCTGGTGTGCCCCCAGTGGCTTCAGCTTTTCAGCGGGCAGCTTTGTAGCCCATTGTTGGAACGAAATCGCGATCTGATATCGGAGGGAAAATCGAAAGGAGAGGGAGAGCGAGAGAGAACGCAGGCGAGAGGGGAGCGGCAACGTTAGGATTGGGGATGCAAGACGCGTGTTTAACCGGTGTCTCCTAGATTCTGCAATCGATGCCGACGGCGATAAAAGGGAATCCTCCGAGTTTGCCCCTGGAGTCAGGGGGATTCACCTGTGCTCCTCAGAGTCCGGAGCCGCGAGTCGCGAGCTGCTCCCGGCTGGGCAGGCTGCAGGGCTGTTTCCAGCGAGCGGCAGGGCGTCCTCAGCCCAAGGCAGAGAACATGTTGGGAAAATGAACCCCAGCTATTTCACGCCCGCGTCCCTGGTACCCCCAAAGCCAGACGGACAGAGAGGTTCAGAGAAAACACAGCGTCCAGGAGGGCATATTCAACTAAAAGTTTATAAATTAAAGAAAAAATACAGCGAATAGAGCTTCCAAATTTCACAAATGTTTTTAAAGTTAATACTCTAGTTGAGTGCACAGTGCCCTTAAGGAGGCAAAAAGCGGCGAGGTTGGCACTTCAGGTATCATCACCTGTCTGAGGGGGAGGTGAGGGGCGGCCAGGGCAGTTGCCGGCCAGGGTGCAGGAGTTGGGGAGGGTGTCCGGTAGGGACACAGGGTAGGGCGGCGGCACTGCGGGGGACGCCGTGGAAACGCTGGCCAGAGATATTCACATTGAATACAAAAATAACCGTCATTTGAATACAAACAACTGCAAAGTGCTACAAATCTTAATCTTCTTTACAAATGAAAAGAAAGAATTTCTGAGTAGGGGCGCCCGGGAGTGCTCTCTCCTCGCCTGGACTTTGGAGAGGGAACTTGTGTGTGTGGGAGGTCCCTGGCCGGCCTGGCGCTCGGAGGCGCCTTTCCTTACATTCAGCACCCAGCAGGGCGCCCCCTCTGGAACTCTGGCACTGGGAAGGGGTGGGTGTGGTGGTCCCGAAAATAAAGCCCTTCTCAGTTCAAATCAACCCCTGGCCTGGGGCTGCCAGGATTTTGCACCCCTTTGTTACAAATCCAATTTCCAAAAATTAAAAGATATGTAGATACACATAGATTGGTAGCATGGATACCATGAACTAGTGCGGCCTAGCGCACGAAGCTCCCGGCAGGCTCGGCATTCTGGGGGCTCGGCTCTGTGGTCTCCAGGAGTCCTCTAGGCTCTGGGGAAAACGCCATCCCCAGCCAGACGCGCTCCAACTGCAAACCCAACATTGTCGTCGAAATAAATAATGTCCAGGGGCTTCCAGACAGGTGAGCGGCGAGCAGGGTCCCGAGACCGTAGACAGAGTGCCTCTCTGTTCAAGTTAGGCAAAAAAAAAAGGCGTTCCCTCCGGGCAGGCTCGCAGCGGCTGCCAGGGCACACGTCGTGGCCATCCGAGCCGGAGCTGGATTTTTGTCCTCCTCTTGCTCCCTCGTTGGGGCGCCTCTGTTCAAAAAGGATGACCTACAGAGCTGTCAGCCTCCTTCGGGAGCTGAGGCGCAGGGATCCTTCGCAGCCTCCTCGGGGCGGGTTTACTGAGTGCCCGCAGCGGCTGCGCACGTGGAGAGCGCCCAGCCGGGGAGGCAGTAGTAAGGGTAGTAGTAAGAGGGCTGCAGTGGCAGAAGCGAGGGTGGCCGCAGCACCTCGCCGGGCAGGTACTGTCTCTGGTCGTCGCGTACCAGCACCTTGACCGCCACCTTCTTGGCGGCGGGCGCCGAGGCCAGCAGGTCGGCAGCCATTTGCCGGCGCTTGGTCTTATAGCGACGGTTCTGGAACCAGATCTTCACCTGCGTCTCGGTGAGCTTTAGCGACGCGGCAAGGTCGGCGCGCTCCGGCCCAGACAGGTAGCGCTGGTGGTTAAAACGGCGCTCCAGCTCGAACACCTGTGCGTGGGAGAAGGCGGCCCTCGAGCGCTTCTTCCGCGGCTTGGGCGCCGCGGGTTCCTCCTCCTCCTCCACGCCGCCCGCCGGCGGGCCGCTTCCCCCGCCGCCTGCTCCGCTGCAGAGCTCCGGCACGCGTGCTACTCCTGGGCCAACACCGTCGTCCTCCGCCCTCGGGCTGTGGTCACCTGTGGGCCGAGGTGAGAACAGAAACAAAAGGTTGTCAGCGCCCCACAGGAGGTAAGGTTGGGTCTGAACCGCAGGGGCCACCAGAGCTGGGGTGGGGTGGAGTTGGCCCCTGAGGCTCCGCACGATGGATACCGGTGTCAGAATCCTGTCCCACATGCTCCCCGCATCGAGACTCCTCTGGTGCGGCCTAGGATCAGTTCCCTGCCCTCTCTGGGCCCAAGCTTCCCCGCAGTAACCTGCGGCACTGCGAACCCTCCCCGCCTCCACACTGTGGCTTTCTAAGCGGCTTTTCTGCGTCTGCTTGGGTTCTCCAGGCTTCCGCATCCTCACGCCTGCACACACGCGTGGTAACTGCACACGCACGTCGGCTACACGTAAAGGAAAGGTAGGACGACAATTCCCGGGGCCAGGTGTTTTCAGTCTTCCGCGCCTAAGCGCCCGAGACTGCCGCGAGGAACAGCGAAAAGGGGCTGCGCCAAGGCCTTATGCACTTCCCTCCCTCTTTGCAAGGAACTGAGGAGGGTTGGGGTTGAGGAATGAAAGGAGGTGGGGATGAGGTCCCTGCCCTGGTCCTCGACTTCTGATCTGGCACCAGTCCCTCGGCCTCTTCCCGCAGCTGCCCATCAGCGAGGTGCCTGCTCTGGCTTGCTTGGGGTCAGCGTGAGGCCTGCATCAGCGTGCACCCAATCCGAGAGCACACACTACGCGACCTCTCCTGGCTGCGCCGAGGATGACCAAGTCAGGACGGCTGTCTGCAGCGGGCTGCGGAGTTTGCCTCCGACTCCTGGGTCCGCAGCCCAGCTCTGCTCTGGCCCACTTGACATGTCCTTAGCTACCTATCCCAGAGCTACGGGCGGCCCTCGGGACCTGGATCCGACAGGGTGTCGGGGCTAGGGCAAGGTTATTGCCTCCCTGAGGTCTCTGGACCCCTCACTCTTCCCTTTCGCATATTTTGGGGACACGGGGACAGACACACCCGAAGCACTGGCTATGGACGCAAAGATCCCGGAACACTGGGTGCAGCGGTTGTCTCCCAACCTGGTCTGGGGGACACCTCAGGCCTTGCCCGAGGATGCAGGGCTCAGAGTACAGCAGTCCTCTCGCAGCCCACGCCACAACGCAGAACTTCTGGACTTGGCCAACCCGAAGCCCCAGGGCGCAGGCCCACCCGACGCGCCGTGGTTACGGTCCTAGTCGATCCCTCAGCCCAGCCCCCTTCCCAGTGCAGCCACAGCAGACCTGAGACGCTGGCCGACATCTCGCTGTCGCTCCGGCCCGCGGCTTCCTCCTCCAGGTCCTTGGCGGCCCGCATCTCGCAGACTGGCTGGCCGAGGCCCAGGGTTCCCCCGGCGCGGCTGGCCCCGCTGGCCCCCGGCGCGTCGGCGCAGCGCCGCCTGCCCTCGTTCTCCTCGCTGAGCGCGGAGTCCGAATCCCAGCCTCCCGGGCTCTCCGCAGTCCGCCCCGCAGCTGTTCTGCTCCCGGCAGGAGACGCCAGCAGAGAGTCCTCGGCGCCCCCCAGCGCACCCGCGTCCGTATCCCCAAAGAGCCGCCAGCAGCAGACAGCGGGCGCCGCGGCCACCACCACCGCTGTGCCCCCGGGCGCCGCGCGCCCCTCCGGTGGGGCCAGCCCGCCACGCTCCTCTTTCTTGTTGAGGATCGCCTGGATGGAGAAGGGCGTCAAGGTGTTGGCGCCGCGCACAGCCATCTGCGCCGCGGGCCGGAGCGGCCGGGCGGGCGGGCCGCTGGGGCGCCGGGCAGCTCCGAGCCGGACAGAGAGTGCGAATGAGCTGGGCGCGCCAGGCCCTTGCAGCCCACTCCTGCGCGGCCCTGCAGCCCCCGCCCCCTCCGGCCCAGAATCTGCGCGGACCCTCACACCTCCGCCCGCGAGGCCCGCCTGGAGACCCCCTCCCCCCCAACCCAGCGCCAGACGCTCTCCTTTCGCAGCTCAGCAGGATTATCTCATCGCCTCTCGCCCTCGGGGGCGGGCCGGGGTCTGCCCTCCCCTGGAAGTGGGGGAGAATTGGCCAGGGGCCCCTCCGCAGCCGTGGTCCCCTCCCGAGCGCCGCCGGGGCGCACGGCCCGAGTCACTTTTTCTTTGCGCCTCTGTCTGTGTCTTCCGCGCCTGCAAGATTTCGCCCCTGGCTCGTCCTTGCTCTTCCCCGCAGCGCTGCCTCTTCCGGAGCCCACCCTGGGCGGCGGCGGCACAGGACTCGGAGAGGCGCGGGGCACCTTTTTACCCCCTGCCCTCGTTTTATCTGTTTCTTCTCTTCCCTTCCCCAGCGTTCCACCGTAGCCCCCTCCCGCCGCGGTGTCATTCCTCACCGCTGAGTGACAGCTCCAGGCCACACCCCCGCTCTGGGTCGTCCCCGGTGCTCGGGGCTGTCCATTGGCTGGCTCCAGCTGGGCGACGTTGACTTGAGCGGACAAAACTGGGCACGTTGCGCGGCGAGAGACAGGGTTTGACTTAACCCCTTCTCTGCTAAGCCTGGTCCTGCGAGCATCCTCCAGCGACCCAGGGGCTCACCAGCCCGGAAGCCGCACTGTTTACTTCCACGCACACACCCACGCTGGCCAGAGCTTTTAGGAGACAGCGATAAGAAATTCGGTCACCATCTTTCACAGCAGCTTCAGGGCGGTGCAATGCCACAAGCCACGCGCATAGTTTCTGTTCTCCGGGAAGCATCACAAACACGAAAAACAAAACGCACCCCACACCACCCCCCTCAGATGCGCGACTGCCCTTCGCGCAAACAATGAATTCATTAAAACCTCTCTAGAAATAGTTTCCTTCCTCGCCGTCTTTGATTTGAATCGGTTTCTGCAGAGGAATTAAAAGGAAAAACATGGTAGAGTTAGAAGCAAAGTCAGGAGAGGCGTTGGAAGGCGTCCTCTCGGCAGCTCCTGGAGATTGTAGGGTCCTTGCCCTGGACGGTCAATACCGGATTTAATTGGAATTCAGGAGGGGGAAAACAGCTTGCAACTAGTTCTTCAAATATTCTGTTATTTTTGAGTTGGATTGGATTAGAAATAGAGATGTGATTGTTTAAAAGAATACCTGGGAATTACCATAGCCATGATCCAGAACCGACAGCATTTAATACTCCTGGAGAATATAGGGAATAGGTTGTTTTATGGCATAGACGGAACCAAACTAAGGCACAGAAATATCGTGGGTATATCAAAACACAGGTTGTTTGTTTATGCTGTTTATTTTAAATAAATTCGCTCAAGTAACATACTTTACCGCCTTCCATAAAATTCAACATCACACATGAGTACAGAAACATGAACCGTTAAATAAGTTTAAAGAACCGTGATTTTAATTTGGTGAATCACTGGGGTTCGTGTTTTTGGTGTCATTAAACTATATATCACTTTCCTCAGTCACTTTCTTGTTGGTCGCACTGGTGCTGCCCTGCAATGGGAAATAACTCCCACGACTCTCGAGTTTTCAGCCTCAGACCAGATTTGCTGCATCCAGGCTTCTCAGCATGGCAGACACTGCGTGCGTTCTCCCTCTGTGCAGACCCTGTGGTGCACCGGGGAAAAACTCCCATCCGAGGAGGAGGCCGTTACAGTTGCATCCTTTGGACGGAAAGGTGCTTGAATTTGGTGTCAGTGCAGGGCCAGGTGAAGGGGCGAACAGAAGGCAGAGGAACAGAGCGCTGATGAGGTTTCAGGAAAAAAGCACCTCTTCTGAGCATTATTTCTGAAATCGCCACCTTCACTCCACTCCCACCCCAGGCAGGGCGTTGGGAGCACGTGTGGACGCTGGTTTTCTCTGGGGGTCGATGGAGGAGGAGGCTGCCAGAGGTTGCCTGGAAGATAGGGGGTGGGCAGGTGTGGACGGTGTGCACACCCTCCTCTTCAACTGCTGCTTTGTGGAGTTTGGACTTGGGGGGGTGGAGAAGCAAGAGTGAATTCAGATACACAAGAGGTTAGAGATGTTTGGAGGCTGAGTGACAGTACTAGACTAAACTGGGAGGTTCTATAAGGACTGAATTGAAAATAAATATCATGTAGCTGCCCCACCAAGAAAAGTTGTTTTTTTTTTTTTAAAGAGTCCCCAATGCCAGTAGGATGTACCCCTCGCCATCACAGCACGGAAATATACAGTTCGTTGGTTTTTCCTCGAGTTTTTCTGTGTGCCGGGAGAGCGGGGGTGCTGGCCAGCCTGGACCTGTTTCCAGCAGGCGCCCGGAGACTCATGGCGGCCCCTTGGGCGACCGCGGCTGTTACGGGATCTTCGTGGCTAAGATTTGATGGCGCTTTACACATCGGTGTTGAACTGCAACTAGAAGGGGTAGAGTGCAAACGAAAGGCTCCGGGAGACAGCGAACAGAGGTGGTACCCCGAGCTCCACCCAGATTCAAGGCCGGCGCTTAGGGGTGCGTGGCGAGTGCTCAGCAGGTCACAGCGTCTCGAAAGGTCAGCGATCGATGGGGACCGGGGTGCGTCTGCGTGCGCGCGCGCCCGAGTCCCCCCTACTCCAAGCTCCCCCGTGAGCTCCAGGGATCGTGGCCGCCCGACCACGGCGCCCGCCCGTCGTTTCGTCCGCTCAGCGCTCCGGCCTGAGTGGGCCCCGGGAGCTGGGAGCAGGGTAGGGCGCCCGCGAGGCTTCCAGGAGGCGCCCGGCTCCCTGCGTTCCGCGCCTCGCTTTGCTCGTTTCTCTCAGTCCTCCTCCGTTCTCCCTTCCCGCTCCCTTCGCCTCCTTTCCATTTTCCTTCTCCTCCACAAGTTGATTCCTGCGCGCCCCCTACGTGCCACGCGCTCTGGTCTCGGGAATGGAGCCGGCCCAGAGCACGGCTGGGCGGTAAGCCCAGGTTGCGGGCGGAGAGTGGGATGCGGGTGGAAGAGCCCGGGGCCGGAGGCGGGGACGGGGACGAAAAGAAGGCGAAGGGGAAGCCCCGGCCTCGGGCGCGAGTTACGAGCTGCGGCGCACGCTCCCGCGCTCTCGGGGATCCCGAGTCCGAGGGAGGGCGTGCCGTGGGGCCACAGCGCGCGGCGCCCCTGCCTCCCATCACTTGCGTCCCGGGCCGAGGCGGCAGGAGACCGCACTCGGCACTGCCCTGCAACAGGAGGCCACGCGGGCTGGTTTCTCAGACGCCGGTGACCTTGAGTGAAGCCACCTGCCTTCCGTAGTTTCCAGTGCTGCAAAAAGAGGGGTTGGATCCCTGCCCCCTGAGGCTGCCGCTGGACCGCACGGGCAAGCGGAGGGGGTGGGGGCGGCTGCAGCCGCGGCCCCCAGGCCGAGGGCTCTCTGGGATCGACTGTCCCCCCCTCCGCAGATTTCCGAGGGCGCACCAAGCCCTCCGGGCATCCTAGGCGTCAAGCCAGGCTGTCTGCCCCCAGACACTGGCTCCTGCCTTCCCAAGTCACCCAGCCCCCGGCTTTATCACGCACCTGGTGCAGTTAGATCAGACTGCAGGAGAGAGAAGCGTCGTCATTACCGGCCAAGCTAGTTTTAAAAATTGTTCACAGCGTGCCAGGAGCCAAAGCCTACTGTGGCTTTGGTAAAGAGTGGCATGGGTGAAGATCTTTATTCCGATTTCACAGACGGGGAAACTGAGTTATCAGTAAGCAGCTAAGCCAGGACTCAAACCCGCGTTTGTTTGATGCCAACCTCCCTGGATTTTCCACTCCAATCGGTTGTGTTCGTTAACCTTCGGGTTTACACTGATTAATGGTTCTCCATCATCCTCCCCCTCATTCGTCTGAAAAAAAAAAAAAAAAAAAAAGAGCTGCTTTCCTATGTACGGGCATTAAACCAAGCAGGCAAGCACATCTGAAGACTGCGTTCTACTGTGCGTTGGAAAACGAGGCACGCCAGGGCTGGTCTGAACCTAAAGCACTTTGTGAAGAAAGAACTGCGTTTGCAACATCAAAGGGCTAAACCTGGTGTAGACGGAGACGGGCGGTGACAGAAACTCGAGTTCACCTACCGCCTTACGTTCGCGACTCCGAGACAGGGAGGGTTACCCTCGGAAGACACGCTTCCTTTGGAGCTTCGTTTTCTTGAAAAGTCAGAGCAGGAGTTCACCTCTCCAAGTATGAAAAATAAGTGCACCGGCTCCCGTACTCGCGCGGGCACAGTGGAGAGCGCGCGCCACCTAGCGGGCGCCTGTCAGGACGCGCAGCACCGTGACAGCGGGAAAGGGACCTGGGGTGGCTAGAGCCCCAACACCCGCTCCGCGAAACCGGATGCTTTGGCACGCGGCTTTGCGTTTCCACGACCTCACGCCGCGAGTGATATCCTATAGTGGAGATGTTCTAGTTTGCAAAGCTCACCCAGGCACAGTCAGACATCCCCTCCCCCTACCAAGAATCCTCTCCCTCTGGGACGGCTTTAGGGCGAGGCCATTGCAGTGGGGCCGGGCCAGGGCCTTTCCGCCCTCCTCCGACGCGCCCTGATCCCTGTGGGCTGGCCCCGCGGGCTGCGTGTCCTGAGGGGCACACTTGGGCTCTCCCTGGATGGTCATTTAGGGAGCCACAGGAATGCTGTCCCGAGATTCACTGATACCAAGGTGTTTCCCCCTTAGCATCAGAAACTTCAAGCATTACAAACAAATCCCCCCCCTCCTCCTCCTCCTCCTCCTCCTCCTCCTCCTCCTTCTTCTTCTTCTTCTTCTCTTCTTCTTCTTCTTCTCTCCTCTCTCTCTCTCTCTCTCTCTCTCTCTCTCTCTCTCTCTCACACACACACACACACACACACCATTGAATGGATAAATATTTTTAAAGGTGATGGGGAAGGGCAGCCTTGTGTTAAGGCAGGTTAAGCCGCTGCTGCTTCCCGCATCAGAGCACTGTCAGTTCTTGCTTTTCCTCCTGTCACTCAGCTCTCTGCTAATGCGCCTGGAAAGGCAGCAGAAGATGGCCCAGGGGCTTGCTTCCCTGCACCCATGTGGGAGACATGGATGGAGTTCCAGGCTCTTGGCTTCTGCCTAGCACAGACCTGCTTGTTGCAGCAATTCAGCCATTTAGGGGAGTGAAACAGTAGATGGAAGATTCTCCCTCTCCTCTCTCTCTCCTCTCCCTCTCCTTCTCCACCCCATCTCTGCTGTGGTGTGTGTGTGTGTCCCACTGTCACTCTGCCTTTCAAATAGAGACATGAATCTTTAAAAAAATCTGTTCTCCGCAGTTTTATTTCCTCAGGTGGGTTGTCTGTTATTGGAGGTGGTGCTAGTGGGGACTGTGGGGGCTCAGGAGGAAGTCCAGTGGGTAGAGTGGAAGCTGCCATGTGAACATTGTCATAGATGCTGGGTCTCAGATGCCTGTAAAATATGAAGA